TGTCCAAACTAACATTTTTGATGCATTTTATGGTTTTATACAATCACAGTTTTTTAAAAATATATTTTTTGTCCACAGAATATTCAACTAACATTTGATGTCACACACATAGCTTTGGCAAACAAACATTTAGTACATGCAAATATATTTTAGTTACATCTACAACTTATGCATCAAAACAAGCATTTCTGTCTCCTTTCTTCCAGAGTGCCACTCACTGCTGCAGGACACAGTGGTTTATCTTAAATCCCCTTAGAAAACAGAAAGTGCACAATGGTGTTTTTTTTTAACTTGTCACATCTTCTATGTAAAACACTAAACATAAAATATCACATGTGTGACCATCAGAGTCTTCTGCCTCTCAGTATATTTTTTGTTTTAGGATATGGCTTATAGTTTTTGCACAACAATTGTTTAGTTTGAGGCTTATTTTTTAGCCTGTGTCTTTGTCTGCATCTCATTAAATTGGCAGTCAGGGAGTGACAGACACAGGTGTGTGGTTACAATGGTGACCACACTGGCAGTAGCTTTAATGTCCTTTGTTCTCCAACAGTCCACACATCAAAATGTAGACAGTTCATCTTAGATTAGATTCATGCAAAGTTATGTTGGAATTCAATTTACTTTTCATTTGCAGATGAACCCCTCATCAACTGTCCACACAAGCCCACTGTTCAGGAAAACCAGTTCAGTTTGAACAATCTGTCTTGTGAAATTGATGGGAACCCACCTCCTGCTGTTAAATGGTACCATGAGGGGAAAGTGATCAGCTCCGATAAGACTCTCAACAGGACGGACTCTGGAAGCTACACGGCTGAAGTTACCAACATCATGGGCAAGAGCTCCACCTCTGTTTTGATCACAGTTGAATGTGAGTCCGTAACGCATCTTTCATGTCATTACTACTGAGCTTGTTCTCAGATTATTATTGATGTATCTTCACAGACAGCCCCGGTTTTACTTGCGGGATGCACTATGAGGTTGAAGTGAATGACAAACCTAAACCTCTGTGTGAACCAGAAGGATTGCCTCCTCCCACCATCACCTGGTTCAAAAATGGAAAAAAGGCGATTCTCCCAGAGCGCTGGACGAAACACGACAGTGGAAACTATTCACTTCACTCGCACAACAACCACGGACGAGCCACGCACGAGTTTACGCTTGATATTTTGTGTAAATCTGAACTTTTATAATCACATATCTAGCATTATATGAAGCATTTCGTTAAAATCCATCTACCGTATTTTTCGGACTATAAGGCGCATTAAGCGAAATAAGTTCATTTTGACAGTTTTTTGAGCGCCATGCACCAAATAAAATTGGTTTGTGGTCAGGAAGCAACCAGAATTTATACATAAGGTGCACTGGATTATAAGACTCACGGTCGATTTTTGATAAAATCCAAGGATTTTAAGTGCGCCTTATAGTCCGAAAAATACCGTAATAGCTCATGAGATATTTTGCTAACAGACAGATTTGCCATCAAACAATTAACAGCAAACTTTTAAACGAAGACTGTACATCCTATTAACACTGAGAACATGTGTTGGAGAGCGGTTTCAGCTTAAGCAATACCAATTTTTAGCTTGGCTGCTGTACAGCTGACTGAATTGTAGCGATTTTTGTGTTTTTGACGTTAATTCACTGTAGCTGTGGCAGCCATCTTGAATCAAGTTGACTCCAAACATTAATCAGTTGCAGATATGCATTCAGTGACTACTTTCTGCAAAGAACACACACGCTATAGTCAGTAGATGCTGATAACATAAAACTAAAAATATATTTATTAAAACATTATTTTTCCATTTCACTACTTTTTTTATATTTAACAGATGCACCAGAGTTCAAGGAGGAAAACGTCCGTGAGGTCTTGATCCCAGGTGGAAATGTGACTTTTAGCTGCAGTGCTCAGGGAAACCCTCGCCCTGAGATCAAATGGAGCTACAGGCCTGCAGACAACCTGAAGGAGACCACAGAGGGGCACCAGAGGATCATCACAGTTACAGGAGCCACGTCTGCCAACGCCGGCCTTTACGTCTGTGTTGCCACGAATAAAGTTGGGAATGTGACAAGAACCGTTTCACTGGCTGAAAGAGGTACGAACATGCACACTTGAACTGATTTTACAATACATGCTGCATTTTACAGAAAAATCTAAACAAAACATCAAGCGGTGTGATGGATTGTCTCAATAGATTTTTTTTGTTTGTTCATGTTTTTCAGACAAATCCAGTGAAATGTTTTGGTTGCTACTAATTTTACCCCTCATCCTTATTGTCCTTGGGATTTTATACTGCTTAACCTGCCGCAAAAGAAGACAAGGGCAGTATACTTTTATTTCAAGCACTAATGGATCCTCTATCCCCATGACTGCAAACTCTGCCGGGAAAACGGAAATGAACTAAAAGAGCAGCCTGTGTATAATTTAAAATGAAGCGTAAAACAGACCTCTGTACAGAACATTTGACCAGATGTGTGAAGGTTGTGCAACAATGTATGTTCTCATGTTGTGTTTCAGTCTAGTTTTTTTTAAATCCAGATGTTTTTCTAGCTGTATGAGGGTGTCATAGTACATTTATATTGTTGTATTCTCATCTGTTGAATGTGTAAAAACTTGAATTAGACGTCGACCAATATGAGTTTTCCTACAGACCGAAGAAAATCAAGGCAACAACACAGAATTTTACAATTTTTGTCAACATGTACTTTTTATTTAACAATATACAAGAATAATTGTTTAACATAAATAAATGTATTTTAACAACACTTAGAAGAACTTCTTCTTTCGACCGTTCCCTCTTCAGGGGTTGCCACAGAAAGTCATCCTCCTCCATCTATGTCCTCTGCATCCTCTGTCCTCACTGCAACTACCTCCATGTCCTTTCTGCATCCATGTATCTCCACTGTCTTGTTCCTGACAGCTGCATGTCTAACGTACCAATGTACCCACTGTCCCTCTTCTGGACATGTCCAAACCATCTCAGTCTGGCCTCTCTAACTTTATCTCCCAGTTGTTCAACCTGTGCTGTACCTCTGATGATCTCCTTCCTGATCTTATCCATCCTTGTCACTCTTAAGGAGAACCTCAAGACCTTCACTTTTGCTACTTCAAGAACTTGTATGCTTAAAAATGATAAGAGCATTCTTCTTAAAAACCTAAAGTGGTTGTAGCATCATCTTCATGTTTCTGTTTGGTAACAGTTCATTTACCGTAAACTGTAAATAATAAGGACATCTCTCATGTGAACCAGCTTTCCTGTCCAGGATCAGTTGTAGGTCCCACCCCCATCATGTACTTGCTGCTGTATGTTCAAAGAGATGGTGGAGTTTATTGATGTACTGACAAGGGGTACCACCAAGGGGCGCCTGGGGGCCAGTGTTAGATACATAATTTATTTTCTTTATAAATATAAATTAGGAGAGAACACATTTCACTAAGATGGGTAGTGGCTTTTCTATACTTGATAGGAATTTCATTATTGTCAACCGTTAGAAGGTGATTCCCTAACTGTTTTCCTAATAACTTACA